TACTCTGAAATAGTGAATCACTATTACGAGGAATGCGGCAATCAAAAATTGTACTAACATTCTCCACCTAAAACACGGGCAGTGAGGTACAAGCATAAATGCCATTTGCATATTAAAGAATAAGCAAAGCAAGAGAAGCTAAACGCATGCCATTCACAGAAATGTTTAAACTTCAGAATCAATTTGAATTCAAGTAGCCTAACGCATGCCATTCACAGTCATGATCTCTTCTTCTATGGACCTGACTTGTGCTTCACTGCTTCGGCTTCCCAATCTCAAATTTGCAGCTAAGTTTTTTCAATTCGGGTTTTAGACTTCCAGTCAATCGCAGTGTTCGAAAAGTCGAACTAGGCGGGCGGCTAGGCGGCTAGGCTAGAGCTAGGCTGCTAGGCTGCTAGGCTGGCGCTAGGCGGTGGCTAGGCGGTGGCTAGGCGGCTAGGCGGCTAGGCGGGAGCTAGGCGGTTAGGCGGCTAGGCGGTGGCTAGGAGGCTAGGTAGTAGCTAGGCGGGCGCCTAGCGGGTTGGGTCTTTTTTCGGTGCCGAACTCGGAGGAAGAAGCAGTGACTGCGAGAGAAAGTTCCGTCCACTGCGAGTTCAAGCTTCGTCTTCGCTGGAATATATTTAAATAGTATAGCCGCTCGGCTCTACGTTTAAAATATAAAGTATAGCCGTTCGGCTGTACGGTTATAATTTCTATTTATAGAGTCACCTTGCGGCTATAATGGAAACGTATCATACAAAAGAAGACGTATCATCCAAAGGAAACGTATCATACATGGTCATTTCAGAATCCTCATGGTGGTTTTGGATTATTTAGCATATCTTATTACATGGGCTTCTTCTTGTTCTAGCAATAGTATACTGATAATATTGCAGAAGCCTCAGGAATATGATTTGATGTGGTAGAAATAGACCAGCTTGACCAAATGAGAATACAGTATGCTGATTATTTGCTGATATGCTCTACGTTTTACTTGTTTGGCAGATTGGGGACCGAAGGTTGATGTTGTTGTTTTTTGTTTTCTTGACCTTGCTTCAAATTATGAACCCCCGGATTCACTTGCGGAGTGGCTTGAAGCTGGTGAACAGCCTGTCTATATTGTATTTGATAGCCTTGTGAGTTGTTGCAGCTTTCTCTATTCATATTTAATATTCTTTTCCCAGTTCTATCCCAGAGTAGCTCTGTTTGTCCTTACCCTAAAAAAATTACTTGTTCCTTCCCAATTAAAACAATCAACCAAAGCCACAATCTCCAAAGAGTGACCACCTTCATGTTGGTCCCCAACGAACAGGTTGTGGAGGTCTATTCATGACAGATGATAAATCGACCA